CCACACCACACACACACACACACACAGGACCCGGCCAAGGGCAATGCCAGTGTGCTCTGCAACCAGGAATTTCCTGAAGGACAAGGAGAAAAGGTCTCTGGTGGTCACCTCTAAACTCCCGTTTTATGTTCTAGGGAGGGTTTTATTTCTGTTTCAGTTCAATTTAACAAACACGGAGCATGCAGCAGGGCCTGTGACAAACTGGGGACCTGGAGCAGGAAGTTGGGCGCAGGAAACATCCTCAACCAGAGCCGACAGGAAGCAGTCAGTGAGCAGCCACATGCCCGCCCCACGGCATCTCTGCACAGAAACGCAGCAGTGCAGCCTGGAAACTGAGGCCCAGCGAGGGACAGGGGCTTGCTCAAAGCCACACAGCAATTCCATCTCAACATGCTGCAGATGCTTGAGGGGGGCCTGTTCGGAGGGTCACCTTGGCCAGCGTAGCTCTGCGAAGATTGGGATGGGGTGGGGATTCTTCTCGGAGAGTTTATAATCCAGTTCTTTCTCGCTGGCTCCCTCCTGAGTGGCAGCATCCCAGGCCTGCAGTGATTGGTGTCCTCTCTCCTTGGAGGGGGGGGGGGCACAATTTTGAAGGGACCTTGGTCCGACTGGGCGGCAGGCTGTCACCAGTGTGGTTCTGGCGCCCTCATGTGGTTCTCTTCGGCATTGCAGCCAGGTCCAGGGCGGGGGTACGGCAGCTCCAAGTCACTGGGCCTGTCACAGAGAAACAGGCCTAGAAAAGGAATAGGCAGGCATGTAAATAGATAAACAGCAAGCAGGCCAGTGAAGTGGTGGGTGATGGGAGCTGTAGCAGAAGTATGGCCAGCAGAGGAAGGGACAGCTGAACCAGGCATTACATGCAGGGGTAGGGACATCTCAAGGAGAGGAACTGGGAGTAAGCAAGAGGGGGACAGGAGGCTTCCTCTGACTCCCAATCCAGTGCTCTCTCAACTGCCTTCTATTCTAAAGCCCCACTAATTCATGCCACCTGAGAAAGAAGGTCAGGCAGAATTAGAATAGCTCAGCACAGAATACTTTGATGCAGTATTTTTTTTTAATTACTTTCTGATGATAAAATTAATATTTACTCATGGAACTAGGCTTGTATTTCAGGACAATGTAAGGAAGAAAATGAAAATTATTCTAAACTCAAAGAAAAGCACTGTTAACATTCTGTAAGTATCTTCTCAGTCCTTTGTTTTCTGTGCATACATATAATTTTTTTCCAGCTTTATTGATGTACAGTTGACATATAACATTGTGTAAATTTAAAGTGTACAAATGTGATGATTTGATACACGTATATATTGGGAAGTGACTGCCCCAATAAGATTAGTTAACACATCCATCACCTCACATAATGACAATTTTTTGTGTCATAAGAACATTTAAGATCTACTCTCTTAGCTACTTTCAAGTATAGAATACAGTATTGTTAACTATAGTCACTATGCTGAATATTATATCCCCAGAACTTATTCATTTTATAACTGTACCCTTCGTACCCTTTGACCAATACCTCCACATTTGGCTTCATCCCCCAGTCCCTGGCAACCACCATCTTCCCTCTGTTTCTATGAGTTGGCTTTTTTAAAATTTCCAAACATAAGTGAAATCGTACAGTATTTGTCTTTCTCTGCCTGACATTTCACTTAGCATAATGTCTTCAAGGTCCATCCATGTTGTGGAAATGGCAGAATTTTCTTCTTTTTATAGCTGAATAATATTCTTTGTATTTAAATACACATTTTCTTTATCCATCCATCAAAGTATAAATCTAAACTTAGGTTGTAACATTATTTTATTTTTTTTTAAAGATTTTATTTATTTACTTGACAGAGAGAGACACAGCAAGAGAGGGAACACAAGCAGGGGGAGTGGGAGTGGGAGAGGGAGAAGCAGGCTTCTTGCGGAGAAGGGAGCCCGACATGGAGCTCGATCCTAGGACGACATGGGGCTCAATCCTAGGACGCTGGGATCATGACCTGAGCTGAAGGCAGGCGCTTAACGACTGAGCCACCCAGGCGCCCCTGTTTTATTTTTTAAGGTTTTTGTTGTTGTTGTTCATTTAAGTACTCTTTACACCCAACATGGGGCTCGAACTCACGACCCCGAGATCAAAACTTGCATGCTCTTCCGACTGAGCCAGCTAGGCATCCCATAAATAAAATTGGGCTCATGCTGTTTTATATAGTTTTATATTTCATTTTCTACTTAAAAGTGTCTTCATGTTATTAAATGTATGATATGATTTTTTTTCTTAGCAGCATGATATTCTACTTTAACTCATTCAAGTTTTTGTATAGCCAGCTCTGCAGGGAATATCTTTCTTCGGAAATCACTGTCAGAAAAGGGGTGAGGGGGAGAAAGAAAAAGAAATCACTGTCCATATTTCTGGGGTTTTTTTCTTAGGAGAAACTCGTAGAAGTGGCATTCCTGGTCAGAGGCTAGGTGCATCTTTAAGGTTTCTCATCTTCCAGAGAGACCAGTTTATATTCCACTGCTACATCTGGGAGTCCCCCCAAAGTAGAGCCATTTGGCTACATTAGAGAACTTTCAGCAACTTAGACTTTGCCTAAAATTGTGAGGCATGAGCTAAGCAGTTTCCTTTCATCGAAGACAGCCTGAGTTTTGGCATGGGGCCATAGGGGCGGGACAGGAGGCTGCCTGGGGTCTGCTTAGAGGTGACCCATCATGCGCCTCTAGCCCAGGACTGCAGAGCTCTCCAGGATGCAGGACTCTCTGTGCCCAAACTGGGATGGTCTCAGGCAGACCGAAACAATTGGTCACCCTCACCACCAGCTCCTGGCATAACCCTCTGCCCCTGTGAAGGTGATGTCCTGGGCTGGGGGCGGGAGATAGGGGCCCTGAGAGGCTGAGAAGGAGTCCTGCCCTCCTGGAGTTTGGGAGGCAGATGAAAGAGGAAAAGCTGTCACGCTAGGGAAGCACTGGGCGGGGGTGGGGGGGCAGACTCACATCCGAACTCTATCCTTTCCAGCTGTGTGACCTGGGCAAGGTGAAAAAGCTTTCATTTCCTCCACTGTCCGATGGCAGAAGTGACCTCCCATGGTTATTACAAAGATTACAGTGTTGGATGAATGCCCTCGGCAGGCGTAGCTTCATCAGCCTCCAGAGGTCAGCTAGATCAGGTGAGTTTTATACGGGAAATCAGGGCCCATTACAGCCACAGAATTTCAAAGAAAGACGGTCTGGAAGGGCCTCCTTTACGAGATGAGGAGGGAGTCCGTTTGAGAAATTAAAAACGTCGCAGCTCTACTAAACACCTGCAAAGTAAGGGGCAGAGTTTACGATCCTTTTCCTCTCTAGCTTGGAGTCCCAGGTGGTTCTCCCCATTCTCCTACTTGGACATCTTCTAACATCCCATCTTTGTGATTTACATTAATGCTAACACGTTATAGTTATAATTTAAATAACAAGCATCCGTTGTGTTTACCATATAAATAACTACCACATTTGTTGTTTGCTTCAATATTAAACCTATTTATTGTCTTTGTTATTTAAATATCAAATCTATGCAGTGTCTTTACTATTTAAATATTAAACGTGTATCGTGTTCATGATCTACCCTCTGCACCCACTAGACTGTAACTA